TAAAAGAAGTGTGTGGGTCCCTCACCGATGGTGACCGACCGTCCGTAGCGATTCTATACCGGGATCCCCTTTGTTGAGCTAACGCGCTGGCCGTGATCATAGCGGAGGATCAGGTGAAACCGGTTCTGTCTCGGGATGGATCACAAAGGTATGCGGAAAAGACATGTTTTTATAGTTCAATGAGACATTAAGACGAGGAGAGGATGTTGTGGTTGAAGTACCTTGAAGAACATCCTCTTTTCATCTAAATTTAGGCTCTACTCGTTCATGATGTCCCTCTTCTCTCATAATGACCGGTGCAGTGCGCCGCAGCATTCGGTGCCTCTATCCGCTCCGGAGCAAAACGCTTCGCAGTATGTGAACCTGGCTGCGAGCGAGCCGTTTCTCCTGCAGAGCCATCATCTGTTCACTAGTCGAGCGCACACTTGGAGCTGGAAACCAGTATCCGTTTATTTTTAGATTCGCCTAATCGTACAAATCTTACATCTCCGCAAATATTTGCTTTTATTCAAATTTGAGGATGCTCATTTGCGTGCATATCATGTGAATAAGTAGTTGGAAAATAATACTATTCTAGCCTATTCGTTTTTACCACACGCACACATGTATGCCCACGTTTATTATTATACACGACGGGGACTTCCAGTTTACATGTAGCCCTATTATGTGAAATTATTGTGCTAATTATATTTACTAAACCAGTTGTGTACAGCAAATATTGGGGGCCCGCCCATGAGCTGTGACGTCACACTGGCGTTTGTATTACTGTTTAATATTATTGTGGGCAGTTTAGATCTTTATCTCTTAATGGTTTTCTCATTTGGTGTATTCTGAGCTAAAATATTTTCTGCAAAACTTTAAGGTTTCTGTCATTTAGAAAGAATAGTGGTTACCGAGGTTACTGGAGATGTATATTAGCTATAAATCGCTCACAAAATATATTTTGGCCTCACATAAAATGAAAGGAAGGAGATGCTATAATAGAGCTCTGTTCTAAAAACTTTAGAATGACAGAAAAGCAGCTTGACTGGTGCAAAAACGTCTTCATGTACCCGAACCAGTAACCAACATTGTTTCCCGCGTAAATATATTTAGGTCGAATCTTTTCTGAGCATCTTTGTGAAGTAAACACACTGTAAAATTGCCACCTTGACGCGACTTCTATGCGGAGTTATATCGCTCTAATGTATATATCCAGCTGAAAACCCCCCCAGTTAAAACCACCCTGAGCTGGTCTTAGCTGGTTTAAGTTGGAAGTAGCTGGTTTTAGCTGGTCTCCCAGCCTGACCAGCAAAGAAAGTGGCCAAAACCCCTCTCAAACCAGCCTGCTGAACAGCTATGACCAGGCTGTTTTTTTTTTCAGGGTAATTGGATTAAAACTGTGGGATGTATATTACATTGTGAAGTAAACAATATATTTTATAATATGTCATATAATTTACTCAACCCCCATATCAGGTCAGTAAAAGTAAATAATATCTTTTATAATATACCATATAATTTACTCAGCCCCTCCATATCAGGCCAGTGCTTAACCCTATTCCTGCATTTCTGAACCACACATGCATTAAAGCCTTCCACGTGGGCCATAATAATAAAAATCAAGATGCCTAAATAAACTGACATTGAAGCACTAGAGGAAATAGCTTAGTCTTTGAATATTGTCATGGACGATGGGGGATCAAGATCAACGAGCCTGAGAACTACTGATTAAGTTCTTATGAAGCCGTTTTCATCATGATGACCAATGTAAGCGGTTTCAGGTTTTACTTAGTTAGCAAAACCTGACCCACACACAAGCACAGACAAATACATTTGATGCTGATTCAAAATAATTTTTCCTTAGAAGGAAAAGAAATACAGCTGCCGGGTTCGATATATAGCACACTGTTTTATTAGTATATTTAGCTTTGTGACGTACAGCTTGGGAGAAAAAAAAAAGTCACAATGTCATGTCCGTGACATTTTAGCAGTGACATCCCACTGGAGAAAGCTTGATCTCAAATCATTGGTTTTCATTAATGAAAGTGATATGTTAGGAGCCACCCATGCTGTTTGCATTAAACAACAAAAAAAGATTTTTTTCATTTTCATTTTCACTTTCAGTTTCTTCACGTTTCAACACTTTTCTAAAGAATTAAAATATTTAGCCACATGTACTGAAAAAGTATTCACTGTTATATATATAACACAATAAATATATATAAAAAAAAGATTTATTTTGTATATATTATGGTATTAAAGTGGGAAATGGGTTGCCCATAGGACTTCTTTTTCAACTATAAAACAGCAATCATTTACCTGAGGTTTTCACTCTGCTGTTCTTGTACTCTAATACTTGATGTCTGCACCCGACGAAGGGTGTGATAATGGCTTTTAATCATTAAGGAACAGACGGCCATGTTGTCCCTAATGGTCAGAGGAAAAGATTGATTTACAACAAGCCTTCTTCATTTTGTGTATCTGTTGACAGCAGTTAAAGAAAGTGATTGGGGTCAGTGATGGGGTTCTCCCAGACAAAAACACTGTCTTGTCTTACTGTTAAATGCATGGAAAGTGCTGCAAGTCCCATTTCCCTTCACTATAAAGGAATCAGATCAAATTAAGCAGTGCCTGAAAAGAAAAAGGGAAAGCATCTGAAATAAAAACAACAACAAAATGAGGACAACAACAAAAAAGAAAGAGAATCTCAAAAATCTGTACATGTAAACATCACACTTCCACTGAGTCCAAAATGAGAAGGAAAGAGACAGTTTCACATTGGTATTAAATACATATCAAAACCAGAGCCGACGTCAGCAGCTCCTTATACAGGAGAAATCAGGAGGAAACCGAGACGGGACGGTAAAGATCCAAAGCACCAACAAATTAGAAAAGAGAACAGACTAAAACGGGGGAACCACATGAACTTGAACGCAGCTGTACACCACTGTGGTAGAAAAATAAAAGTCAAGTTGTTTTTTCTTCTTTCATTTCTTTTTTTGTGTGTGTGTGTCAGAGCTATATATCTGATCAAACCAGAGCATTTTTCTTAAGATGTGTAGTTTTGCAGCAACCATAACCAGTGTCACACCTGAATGCAAAGCCTGAACCCGTATACGTCCGTCAGTGTGTTTGTGAGTGATGCCTTTGAAATATGACAGGTGGCCTGTTTAGCTGTACATAATATCACAGTAGATTGCGGTGCTGATTGAACCAAAAAAGACACCTTGAAGGAGCTCTGAGGTACCTTATGACAGCAAATATGGAGAGCTTCTGGAGGGTTTCTAATACAGTAAAGGGACATATATATATATATATATATGACAATCAGTTCGGTTAAGCCCCGTTAAAGGCACGGCGCTGTAACTAATCAGAAAACATAGTTTCCCAAATATCTTGGTCATACAGTACAGAGATATCAGTTCTTTGGGGGTTGTGGCGCAAGGGGAATCAGGCATCAGGCTCTCAATGTAACTAACACTTTAAAGCCTGTGCGGCGTGGGATTGATTTTGCCCTCGGTGTGTGTATCTGCAATCCGATGTGACCGTGGTTTGGCTGGCTGCTTGGCATGTTTGACATCCTTGTTTGGAATGTTATAGGCATACAGGACAAACTTCAAATGTGATGTACAAAACGGTTCTGAAAAGACCACTTGCGATACAAAAAGAATTACAAAATAATAGTAATCGAGATAATTATAATAAAAATAGGAATCAGATAAAAAGGTTTTCGACAGTGGGCCACAAGGCGTCTTCAGCGGCTAGCGTGAGAACTCAGATCTGAGAGTGAGAGATGCTCTGATTATGGCTAAAATAGCCCTCACTCTCCCGGGACACACTGCGCTGTACGACCGCACACGGAACACAGAGCACGGAAACAAAACTGTGAACTAGTTACACCTTTTTCAAGATTGTCGTTTGCCTTGTTTTACAGTTTGTTTTTCAGTAGCTGTCCTTGAGCGAACTGGAGAGAAGAAACACTTTACGATCAGATGAACAGCTTTGCTTTTTTCGGCTTCTTTTCCACACAGATGCGGTTACCAGTTCCATCTCCATCGTACGTTTTTAGAAATCCATAGAAGAGCTCAGTAGCATGTGAGGTTGGCGTATCATCAGCAGCGTTTGACGGCAGTGGGACCCATATCAGACCTCTACGAGAGAAAGACAGATGACCGAGACAGCAGCTAGAATCCTCTATTACCTGACCTCTCACAATCTGTGTCTACTGCGGACAGCGTGGAAAAGAAAAGCAGGTGAGACAGAGAGACAAATAGAAATGGCAACAGCACAGAAAAGGAGGAGAGAGGACGTTTGATCATGAGAATGTTTTCCCCCAAATTAAACCCCTTGAATGCGTAGGTCAAAATGTGTGTCAGAAACGTGTTTAGGTTAAATTTCACTCCAAAAATCAAAAGAATAAAATCAGAAATTGTATTTTGTGGAAGAGAAAACTATTGTTAGGACAATTCGTATGATTTAATCAAGCATATCAACCTCAATTCTCATTACCAAATGAAAAAAAAAATCTGATTCTTCAAATTCTCTATTATATTATTTAATATATATAACTTATTCTACTATACTGAAATTATAAAGATTTAAATATCTTAGTGGTATTTGTAGTTCCTTTTAAATTTGTTAATTTAATAAAAAATGTATTACACTATATTTACTGTAATGTTGTACTGTAATATGTAAAAAATGGTTTATAATTGAAATGATAAATTACAGAATTTCTAATGAACTTAACGAATTTTGTAATAATATTCCAATTACAAAAAAAAAAAAAAAACGTAAAACAAACTAAAAAGTTAAATGTAGGAAGCATTAAGGTAATGAGAATTTTTGTTTAATTTGTGCTTAATTAAAATATCAGAAACCAAAAAGCAGAATTAATTTTCTTTATGCAAAATACAATTTCTTATTTTGTTTATTTTGGGGCTAAACTTAAAAAAAAATGTAATATTTAAAAATATTTTAAAGCATTTAATTTGTAAATATTTACATATCTTCCCTTATTTCCTTATTAAGTTCTCTCCTGAAATAAAGTAAAAGAAAAAGCGAAGACAGTCAGAGATGAGAGAGGTCAAGGACCCTTTTGTGATCAGAGCAACATTAACCAGAGGACAGCACAGTGAGGAGAGGCCTCACGCTGTCAACTGTGCATATGTCTTCACGTATGTAACAACTCAGTATCGAAGTAGGAGGCTGGACTGTGAAGGCCAACCATAAATATAATAATTAAGAAATCATTACTTCTATATATCCACTGTTGCGTTTTGAGTAGAGGTGTGAAAATTGCACACAAATACATCTTAAGAGGACAGTGTAGTCTCTGGTCACACTCACTCATCATCATGGCTTTCAATCATAAGTAGGTCCCGGTCATGTGATTATGAATGTAATGATTCTGAAGGCTCCTCAGCGGGGGTCATGGTAGCCTCTCTGTATTAGTCTGTCTCCTTTAGGGCCAGAAATGCGTTTGATTATCTTCTGCATTGCGATATTCTTTCTCCATCCCCCACTAGCAGTGCAACACGGAGCCACCGAGCTCCTCAATCACAGATTAGCACTGCCTCTGTGTGCAAATGGAGCAAATTACAGTGACATTACTGTCAGCCAGTCCCTAAACAAATCTACCTCACTAACTACACATTTTTAAACCTCTCCTGATAAATATTCAGTTCACTAAAGACCCTTTAGCGTGTCTGTTCGTGTCGTACACGTGTTCGTGTATGCGCCAAGCTCTTGTGCCAAAGATGATTTGATCCCAGTTGATCTCGAGATTTAAGCACACACCGCACTTTTAGAACAAATCAAACAAAAGCAAACACAAGCAGCCCTCAGTATGAAATCAAACACTCTCGACCAGAATGCAAAACGGCAGGTTTTTTTTATATTTCTTTTGGATTTGGCTTCTGTTTTGGACTTTTTTTGCCTTGTTTTTTTTTGCCTTGAGGTGCTCTGGTTGTGTTTGGGAGGCTTGAGGTTTCAGGTCTGTGGCGTTACGTTGGAGTCCATAGCAGCAGAGTGGATTAATGGCCATTAAGAAAAGTCAACAGATAAAAGACTAACAAGCTTCCATTCCGGATCCTTCCTCTCTATCTCCGTCCAAAGCAGAATAATAAGGTGGAGGAGGAGAGAGGATGTACAGGAGAAATGGAAGGACACATAAGAGAAGAGGAGAACAGAAGGTGACCCGTACAGTGGAAACAAAGAGAGTTGGCATCTATGAGGCCGAAGTGTTTAAATGCATCAGTACGGGTCCATTCCCAAAACAAGTTCAGTGTATTTTTGCCATCAATACCTTGAAATGGATCGGAATATATACAACACATTTGGAGGGGGTGGAAAAGAAAATCTTCACTTTAATTACAGAAACAAATTCACTCCCACTCTCTGCCTTCGATGCCCAAATCACTGGACCGTGAAGTCGAGGACGGACAGGTGATAATTTTCTTTTTTCCACACACAGAGAGGAGAACGCTGGGAGAGAGAGAGCGGGACAGACAGGTTGAGGTATTTCCAGGTGAGCTTCCACCTGCGTATCTATATGCATAAATTAATGATTCAGAGGTCAGAATGAATGGAAAAGTGCTTCAGGACACAGCAAGTGCTTATTTACAGCAAATACAAAGGTCTCTTAGTTTTCTTCTTGCTCTTTTTATCTTCTTTCTTTCCATTACGCCTCCAAATCAAAAGTGTCTTCAATTAGTTAGTGCCGTCTGGAGGATTGGCGTGCCGTAATTCCTCCTTTGAAGTAGCTAAAAACCAAGAAAATCCAAAATCGATGGCTCTCAGCGGGGAACGAAGGGCGGTTAAACAGAGGGAGGCCGTGGAGAGGAGCAGTACGTGGAGGATGCATCGAACCGTCTGCTTCAGCACTGCAGTGTCCTTCAAAGATTCATCTCCACGTTTGTCCTCTTCATCTCTTGGCCGTTCTCGTTGAAATATGAACGCAAAAGCTTGATGAAGCGGTGTGTTTTCTCTCTCTTCTAACATCTTTAAGAGCCAGATGGTTTTCCTTGGTGACTGGAAAACCTGTGACGATGAGGATGATAATCATGTGAGGGACACAGTCAGTTATGAGGTCCAGAGGGACAAGGGTATGTGTGTAGTCAGAGAGAGTGTTGAAAATCGGTTCAGTTCTGTTGTAGTATGAGGTTCTCCAGCTCATCTGCCGATCGTAGCAGGAAGGCTGCAGACTCACGGTATCCCGCGATCAGCTGACGCACTGCCGCCACTTCTGTATGGCTGAGCTGAGCTGAAGCCCCGCCTCCTCCGTTCCTGCCGAGACTACTGGAGCTTGACGAGGACGAATTTGAGGCCAGAGACTTCATACTGAGATCAGTAGGTCCTGAACGGAGAGAATAAAAATATAATTACAGACATAAAAACAACTAAGAACACAGACACAGTAACTCTTAAGGGAGGATAAAAAAAATCTTAAAAACTCAAGATTGCTCTTTTAATCTATTCCAATTTAAAGTGCCGCAGGAAATGAAATCAGTTAAAAATTAGTGTGTACCAGAAATACTGGCACACCGTTGTGGGCTGCACACATTCACGTACAGCATGTTACTCTTTTAAACCAGTTCTTTTTTAGTGACTGAGAAACATGCAGTGTGAGCAGTGCAGCCTGATTCATCAACAAATGACTCTTTAGAGTCAATGAATCATTCAAAAAGACTTTTCCACAAACTCTCTAAATGCATTCATGGGAATTTATAACCAAAGTGTTGGTTTATATTTTTATAATAACTTTAAATATATATATAAAAAAAAAGTGTTACATGAGAAATTTAATTTTGTTTACTTAAGCTGATTTCCACAGTTTTTGGTTGCATTGATTAATATACATTAATTATATAGCAGTTGTTCTGCAAAGTTTGGGCCTGGATGTTACAATTTCAAATTAATTTGTTTGTAATTTACCAAGTTAAAAGGTTTCCTATATATGAAATATGTCCAAATTAATTAAATTGAATAAAAAATAACTAAAATTTTCATCAATACCCAGTCTCAGTAGCTCTGTCAAAAAACTAGTTAGCTGTCTCTCTGACATTATTTTAAGGACCCCCACTGTCCAACACAATATTTAACAACCCCCTACATAATATAATATTAAGAGAACTTTACATATATAATTTATTAATGATAATATATTATTAATAGAAACTGGGAATGTCAATGTAGTTACAATGGAGTAATTAAATTAATTAACCATAATTGATTTTGTGATTTTCAAGAACGGTATGATTTCAGTTTTTATCTTGACTGTATGTTTTTTTAGCATTTTAATTATATGAATGTTTTATAATGTTAGAATGTTTTAATATATTAAAAAGAAAATTATTATTAATCATTTAACTCATTGTAAGTCATCCTGCAGCCCCCTTGGAAGTTTGCCAATGGCCCTCAAGTGGCCCCCTGGTTGAGAACCACTGTTTAATGCATCATAGCCCTTATATAATGTAAATTACTTAGTTTATGTCACATGTTAAGGCAACTTTGCTTATATCCTATATCCTTTCACAGATAAGGCAATTGTGTGAGTAAGCATCAAGTTCAAACTTCAGTTAGGATGCTGTCAGCTTCCTCTCTCACCGTTGGTCTGGGCGGTAGCTGTTGTCAGGGACACTGGGTGTTGCATGCTGGCACACAGTCCGCCGTAACCACGGTAACTGTAGTTGAGGCCTCCATTGATGTATAGCTGGTCCTGGGAGTAGGCTGAGGCAGCAAGGGAGTATGCAGATTGGGTCAGCGAGACCGGCTCACGAGAGACCGCCTTATCCAGAGATAAAGGCTCATCCTGAGAGAGAAACAATTATATCAGGCTACCTTGGTTTTAAAATTAAGAGACAGACTGACACCAATGCATCTCCAAGTTTCACATGCACATGCATACACTTATACATCGCTACTTACATGTGCCTGGTAGACATCCATGCGCATTCTTTTGGCAGCTTTGCGTGATTCACTCTCACAGGCGGCTGCTAGAATGTTCTCAGCCAGCGCTGAGGTCAGGTGGGGTGGCGTGGGTCGAGTCTGCTAGTACACACACAGTACATTTAATATATGAACTATTATGTACTCATTTTATGGGTCATGGTGAAAGAACACTTAATTTCTCAGAATCTCTTATTTTATGTGTAAAATATGTTATACACAACCGTTTGTAAGATTTTTAAAAGTATGCTCGCTCACCAAGGCCGCATTTATTTGATACATTTCTTTTTAGGATTCTTCAACAAATTGAAAGTTCAAAAGAAAAGCATTTGAAACTGAATTTTTTTGTAAAATTATAAATGCCTTTACTGTCACTTTCGGTCGATTTACGCTGTCCTTGCTACATAATGAAGAATAAGGAAACAGAAAAAAATATTTCTAAAACGTTATTTGAAAACAATTAGATTACATTTTGTCTTGTAGTACAGCAACATTAAAATCTGTTTACAGGTTTGAACTTAATTTACAGAAATATGTCTAATATGATATAACACTGTCATCTCATGAATATGAATGTTGAATTTTTGCCTGGTGTTTGCTTCATCACAAAACAAAACTCTATTTCTCGGTGTCTGTAGTGTTGACCACCAGGGGGCAATATAAGTCATCTAAACATTACAAAGAGCAGAAAGAGCAGCTCAATGTGGCAGCGTGTACCTCCATGCCATTCTTCTTCATACGACGGCAGGATTTGAGGTAGGTACGGATGCGTTTGCGAGCGCGTTCCTGGAACTCTGGGAACTGACGGCTGCAGGACTCAATAATGGCCTGGATCTTCTCTTTAGGCTGTTTAGAGATTGGCACCATACGGTCCAGGTTCTCATCCACAAAGAGACGCACAAACATCTAGAAAAAGAGAGAGAAATTAGTTACTTCAGCTAAGTATGAGGTGTGAGTGAAAGCCATGCAAGACCACATGGTTTATAGCTCTTTTTATGCAGTAGAACATCATGAGTAGGGCTGCACGATAAATCGCATGCGATATTTAACGCGCATCTTATCAGTAAAGCCGGTTCTGTAATCAGCGGTAAATCTCCATCACGTGCAGGCTTTCACATTGAGCAGCATTAACTACACAGAGCCGTTGTTCACAGACCGTTGTTCACAGACGAGCTGCGCAAAAAATCGCGCGAATATGAACATGGTTTTGCACAGCTCGTCTGTGAACAACGGCTCTGTGTAGTTAATGCTGCTCAATGTGAAAGCCCGCAGGTGATGGAGATTTACCGCTGATTACAGAACCGGCTTTCTGACAAGATGCGCGTTAAATATCGCATGCGATTTATCGTGCAGCCCTAATCATGAGTTGAATGTCCTTATACTCACGTTAAAAGCCTTCAACCTCTCTGGATCCACTCCTTCTACATCATTGATCTTATCGCTATCGTCGTGGTCGTCATGGTCATCGTCATCATCGTCAGCCGCCTGAGACCGACCAACAGTCAGATCTTCAGGGCACATCTCCATCTTTATTGAATCATAGCTGCCTGAACTGTATTGAGGAGACTGCAAAAACACACAAAGAAACCAAGGTAAGCCTTCTGCCTGCAAGAGTCTATTGACAATCAGAAAAGACTTCCAAAGGAGGACACAGACTGAAAGATATATCAAAAAGATGATGTCTACCAATAAGGCCATTCATGGCCACCGACGGCGCTTCGGCTGATGAAAACCAATTCTTCAAGGTCTAACAGTGTTATTCAGACTCGGTACCAAGAGTCTTGGGCTGCATTTCAGATCGTGAATCCGTTTGTTTGAAAGATATTTTTGCGCTCTTCTTTTCACAAAGACAATACAATTAAACAGAAGATGGGAAGCAACAGAGGCTGACCATGGAAAATAGGAATGAAATGAAAGTTTCTATTCAGACTGGAGCCTTGCTCGGCATATTGTTCAAACCTCTCTGCATCAGTCTAAATGAAAAACACTCCTTGCCAAGCTAGCTAACTGAATAAATGAGGTTTGATTGAGCGCCTTTGCAACTGTGAGTTCAACTCGCATTGTATGCTCAAAACAAATGACAATCTGTTGTGTACAAGGGTGAAGGAAAAGTCTACAGGCAGAACCAGTAGCACTGTTGGTTAGATTAGCAAATAAGGATGTTAAAAATTCAGGTACTTAATTTCCAAGTTGATACTAAGATAAAAAAAAATAAAAATACGTAAAAAAGTAACGATACCAGTGAAATTGTTCTGCTACTGGTAATGATTACTGAAATTTTGGTATTGTGTGAAGTAGCATTCAGCATTTTTATGGTCCTAAAAGAATATACCTTGCTATTATAGTCCCTGATATCTCGGTCAAGGCGTAGCTCTGAGGATTTGGGGTATTTTCTGCGCAGCTCCTCTGCCTGCTCAGGGTTAAAGGTCGCCAGCATGGCAGCAGCACTAGGCAGGGCCTGACTCAGTCTGTCGCTGAGGTTGACTGGTTGCCGGTCCTCTGAAGATGAGGACGAGGATGTCGTGGTGAAGTCGAGTGGTGCCGTGTTACCGTTTCCGTTGCCGTTAACCGATCTGGCTCCTGTCCCTGTATTTTCACTCACACCGGCCACACCTACTGAGGGAGGAGTCAGTGTGCGGATCCCATTGCCACTCCCACTTTCAGAAGATGAATCATCTGAAAACATACACAACGTACAGCGAAAAATTAGTACTGTTCCATCAGCATACAGTTCCATACAGTAATTTCTAATGTTCACCAAAACATAATGACAATTTCCCAAGTAATTTTTCAATAATTTCCTAAACATTCCCCCATTATTGGTCAGTTAGCTGTAACATAGCTAACTGTAAACTGTCTGAAGAGGATACTTTTGACTGCATCTGCAAGTGTGAAGCCCATTCGTTGCTGTTTTATAAGATGAGCCTTTTAAAACATATTGTTTATGTTGCCCTCTGACAAGACTTCTTCCTGTCATGCTAACAATGTTAGCATGCTAATTTACTACAATGGAAGCATTCACAACATCTATGAGTGCCAGCCGGTCTGGATCTACATCCACTACGAAGTCCATTATACCTGATGGTGTATGTGGTTCAGTATTGTCCAGTTCTAAGGGCTGGATGTATGGAAATTAGTTTATGAAGAGATCTATACCACAGCAGAGCTGAACAGTGCACCACACACACTCAGACACATAGAAACATATACCCCTGTGCTTAAAACACACAACCGGATATACAAGTGCAATACATTTTAGAATTTTGAGAAAATATACTATATCTCATGTGTTGTTGTAAATTATTTCAATATATATGCATTATATTACTCTTGTGAAAAAGAAGTGTGCTTAATTGTATTCAATGTGTACCTGTAGTGTACTTCAAATAAAAGTTTTTTTTTTTTAACTGTGCTGGCAGATAATATAATATTAATAAAATAAAAGACTACTTAAGTGTACTTAAAGAGAGTAAACTTTCACGAGGGGTCAACACACATAAAGATGCTTTTAAAAAGTGCATTTGTAATAAAACTTTTTTCTTTAAAGTACATTTATGCTTATGTAAAGTACTTACATAATATGTATGTTAATATGTAGTTAATATATTTTAAAAGTACTAAATTGCAACTTCATTATAAAAATGTCATTACAAATATATTTCAATTCATGACATAAGTTTCAATAGAAATGACATGAAAGTATATTTTACCATAATTGCTCGTCAATACATTGGGGCACTTTAACCTTATTTCAAAGACAATAGTAATTACGAAATGACATAAATATGTACTTAAATCCTAACTAAGTGGGTCAGAAATTATTGTTAAGCTCAATTAACTGCATTTAATATAACTATAAGCTATAATACATTTTCATTTAATTGCAATTTACAAATAAGTAATAAAAAAACATGATTGCCTGACCAAAAAATTATCTTGCACATACAAACAGACACCTCAGCAAATTAATACAGCAAAGATGTAAAGCACTGTGCAAATAAAAAACAACAACAGCAAAAAAAAAAAAAAAAATGTGCGTGTACAGTTGTAATGCCTACATACAGCTATAGGGGGAAACAACAGCGAGGGCAGAATTGGGGTCAGCGTAAGACAGCAGAAAAAAACAGACAGAGGGAAGAAAAAGAGAGAGGACAGGATGGATTGATGTAGAAGAGAGGGCACAGGCCGGTTGAAGAAGGAGGGATGGAGATTGGATGAAAAGAGGGAGGGGGTGATGCGGAGTGAGTTAGGGGATGAGGGCAGTGGGAAGCAGGTCAGAGTCAGGGGCACTGAACATCAATGGAGGAAGGGAGAGAAGGATGGGGGGATGGTGAAATTATTAGTGGAGGACACTGGATGAGAGGATGTGAGAGGGAGGAATATAAAAGAAAACTGGGTGTTACGGAAAGGGAGAGGGGCAGAAAGAAAGAGAATAAGCCCAAGAGTGAGAGAGAGAGGCAGAAGAGACATTGAATGCGTCGGGGGTGAGCGTGGCAGAGACAGCCGCATATTTATTGGAGTATAAAGAGTATTCATGCAAGGAGGGGAAGGCCAGACTAATGCCTGCCAGCTCTGCTAAAAAGCTCTAAAGCGTACACACACACACTCTCACAGTTTTTCTTGCCATTCCCTCCTTCACTGGTCTTTCAGGAAAGGTGTTTGAATGACAGATGAGAGAGCTCCCAGTGTAATGTCCATAAAATGTGTGAGTGTGCACACGGGCGCTGCGGTGGATGTGTCTCTTATGCGCCGTGATGTGCTTGAATACACTATTTGCTTGCCTCTGCTCAGGAAACGGCTGCAGCAGTCATGCTTTTGAAGTGCAGCTACTGGGCCAAGGCTGCCGCTGCGTTTCTCTCGGGTATGTTTCATGCAGCTTGAAAATGGTTGGTTGTTACATTGGCATTTAGGAATGTTCTTCCTGACGTGTGTGTACACTGGCTCCAATATCCACTTTTTTGCCACACTTGTCAATTGCGAGTGAATTGAGATATTTTAATGAATAATTTTTTTAATTATACGACATGTATTTTATATAAAGTCTCATATGATCTCATATAATCTGTCATTGATAAAAATATAGTAAAATTGTGAAATATTATTACAATTTAAAATAACCGTTTTCTATTTTAATAAATTGTAAAATGTAATTTATTCTTGTGATGCAAATCAGAATTTTCAGCAGCTATTACTCCAGTCTTCAGTGTCACATGATCCTTTAGAAATCATTTTAATAATCTGATATCATGTTTTTTTTTTTTCAGGATTCTTTTATGAATAGCAATTTCAAAAGAACCGCATTTATTTTAAATAGAAATCTTTTGTAAAATTATAAATGTTTTTCTGTCACCTTTAGATAAATTTAATGAATCCTTGCTGAATAAAAGTATTAATTTCTTTAAAAAAAACTTACTGACCCCAGGTTTATGATTGGTAGTTCATATGATGATAAATATGAATAATATTAATACTAAAAATGTTATTAAGTCTAAAAGGTCACATGCTTATATGATCAGATCATTCATAACATGAAAATAAGTTTAGTAATTTATGTAAACAATATATTAAATTAATCAATTTCTACAAAAACCCACCAAATTCTGACATTCATCAGAACACCAGATGTTAAAAACCTGATAACCAATTAAGTAGAAAAATGTGAAAATAGGTTAAAAAAATGTTGCTCAAAAAAAAAAAAAAGCAGAAAAAAAAGGTCAGCTGGCCAGTGTCACTTTGGAGCATTAGCTGTGGGCCGTGTCCACACAGAATTAATCTTTAAGATAACTGGACTGATGGGAGCTGCTTTATCATAGTAGTGTAGTATTCAGACCATCTCAGACAAACATACACACAGACCCTTGTGCTTTAACAAGGACAGTGGAAGAGAGTTTGATTACCTCCTTCTCACAATATGAATCCCCGAAAGCAGGTGGCAGCTTCCTGAAGCTCTCCTTTCTCATTTGATACAAATAATGACAGCCAATAAACTCTCTTAACTGCGTGACAAGCATGAAATATGATTATCCCTGGCTCCTGTCACTCGACTGACCCAGGTCCAGTTCACTCCTGCGGAGAGAGTTCCCCTTTTAATCATCCAGAGTAAAAGCCATACAGACAAGCTGACTGCGTCTGAACATCTTGGAGTTTTCTCCATCCATCCATCCATCCATTCTGATTTTAGACTCAAATTCTACCCATCCTACAAATACAATAGTTAAAGGTGAGGCCAAAGGCTACTTTAGATTCTGCTGTATTTTGCTAGTTTAAAACATGTTTTATATTTCATGTAATGTTTTAAAAATTCATTCTACTTCTATTCAGTGTTAACTGCATTAATACTGTATAAAAATGACTACATCTCTGAAGAAAAAAACAGTGGGTCGAGTGATTGTCGCTATGATTATTCCCGTAATTACTCTAGCAGGTGTGTGTTTGCATGTGACACACAGACACGCAGAGGGGTGCAGGCACAACAGTCGATAGCACTGCTGTGCTTCCTGTCTCTGAATCTCAGTAACGACAATCAGGTGTAATGATCCAGCCTACACAGCAGGGCCTGTGAGGAGTCACCATAACACAAACATTTCATCAAGGGGTGCAAGGCATCTAAACAGGGTGGCAGCAAGCGAGTGGGAATGAGAGATGGTCAGCTCTTTTCTTGCACAGTAATTGACTGTTTTTTTAATTCATGCGGATGACCTCCAATTAGTGGGCTCCTCCGATAAGTCTGAACCTGTTAGTCAACTCCCCCCACTGCAGTCTAACAGAATCTTATTCACCACACACATTTCTTACAGATTCTCCCTCCTCGTCCCTCATTTCTTCAGACCAGCACCAGTCAATGGGTTGCTTCAATGACAAATCACACACCTGTGCAACTTTTCTGAGATTTTCACAGTGTAAGCTGTCTAATAGCTAAGCATAGCACTCAGCACTTAAGATATTTATAAATTAATTATCTTAAATAAATATAACTACACATACAATTTTTGTATTCAGTTTTTATAAAAAACTAGATTTCTAAATTTATA